GAATTGAAATTGCAGACGCCGAACACGGCAGTCTGGGCGTTGTATGTGTATGTGTATGTGTATTGCCCGTCCAAAGCCAATTAGCATCTTCATATTTCATGTTTGGTACGACCAGTACTGTCAAGCACTGCATGGTGGTTTCATGGATCCATCGACTTTGGTACACTCGCTGGTGCATGCTTATAACAGGGTTCATATTCAGCTCGTCAGTGCCACGTGGACGTGTTAGCTACCACGCAACTTCGATTCAGACCCAGAAACGCCAGCAGCGTATTCCTTTTCTATGCATAAACCGTGGCAACTTGTATTCAAGGCTGTCAATCCATAGAGCCTCCATCAGGAAGGTGAGCTCCCCGGATATCAGATACTGAACATTCAGGCCAACTTCCCGAACAAGTTGCGTGAGGCACGAGGGAACGCACCTCGGCGCATCTACATGAGCTGCGCGAGCCTCAGAGCGTTCAAAGCCTCGAAGCCGAAACTCCCCCCCTCTTGACGAAATGGCCAACTGATGCCACGCCCGAATCTACACACTAGCGGTGACAGGGGTATTTGTGCAGCTGGAACTGAGGATGGAAAGTGGCAAGCACAGTGTCTGGGCGATTCAACGCTGCTGTTGGCTGTATTACGTCATGATGCACTGGCTGGCGAGCGGACGGACAAAGACATGCTTCTTGTTGGGGCGCGGCGCAATGCAACAGTACATAACGAGTTGATGTATCGTAAGTCGTTGGTCCGTCAGGTTAGGTGCTGCCCGATGGCGGACTTGGTGCATGCGGCCTGGTCGATGGGTCAACTACCAAGGAAAGACGACGAGGTGGGAAGACCACGTGGATCGGGCTCCAATCCTATATCTGTATGCGGAATTCAGGTGGTCAAAAAATGTTGGAGGGGACCAGAAGGCGGAGGCAGAATGGATTGGGAATTGCCCGGCATTGAGGTCGGCGAATGCAGGGAAGCAGGCGGTTCACAACCCGTATTGGCGTTTTGTCAAGCTGGGCCGAAGACGGTGACTTATATTATACCTACAAGACGCAACCGCAGCAGTCACTTCCTGTCTGACCTCGCCGCCAAGCGAGGGCCCCGTGGCAGAGACACCCCGCACTAGGCTGGTTTGGGAAGAGGGGCTGACTCGACAGGCGGCGAGTGGCTGCAAGTTTTTGGTGCTAAAGGCCCATGGTACGGAGTACAGAGTACATGCTTAAGTACTTACTTAAGTACGTTGGTGCTTAGTAGGCAAGGGTACCAACGTTGGCGGTTGGCGGTTGGCGGAGTGCCGACCAGCAAGTTTGGCCAAATTCGACATCTTGAATTTTCTGCCCTTCCATTCTTCGATACCAACCGCGCTTTGTCCTCCGGCCTCTGCCACTTCCGCTGGGCGTTGCTGTCTTGATCTCTTCTTCTTTTTCTTCTCCCCCCCCCCCGGATTCTTTTTCCCACTTGAGCATTCTGTCGTACGCAATACACAGGCTCACGAGGCTCCGAGACTTGCTGCGTCTGCCCCTCATTGTCGTCTCTCCCCCGTGGGCGTCATTTCCTCAACACCGATCCTCGGCCCGCTTCTTCCCAGCCTTTGGATACTCAACAACACACTCTGCTTCGCCTCGAACTAGTGCACAAGTTGGCATACCGGGGCAATGGCACAAAACGGAGTTTCTGAGGGGTCTAGCGACTTTCATAAACCGTCGCAACGCTACCTGAGCACTCGCGGCGAGGACAGTGATGTAAGTAACGCTGCCGCGGTAACCCCTGGCTCACGTCTGGTTACATCCTACGTCGCTCAATTGGCAATGCCTATACCATATGCTACACCAATTCATCTTTTCTCTTTCTCTTCTCGCTCGCCTAACCATTCTCTTCTCCTGCTAACGTCCTTGTCTTGGCTGTAGTGCTCGTTCGAAGAGGTCGTTCTACGTGGCTTGGCTTCCGATGGCGGCCTGTACATTCCCGAGCAGGTCCCCAGGGCTACGGCCTGGGAAAGCTGGAAAGACCTGAGCTTCTCGGACCTGGCCTACGAAATCATGTCTCTCTATATCTCACAGTACGAGATACCCTCACCAGATCTCAGGGACCTTGTCAACCGAAGTTACTCGACTTTTCGCAGCGACCAAGTCACCCCGCTCGTCCAGCTTGACGGCAACCATTACCTTCTCGAGCTTTTCCACGGTCCCACGTTTGCCTTTAAGGACGTTGCCCTTCAATTTGTTGGCAACCTGTTCGAATATTTTCTAGCTAGGAAAAATGAGGGCAAAGTTGGAAGAGGTATGGTTCTTTGCCACCTATACCCCGTTAATGTGACGGAAGCAGACGCCCTGCCTTTGTACTTGCGGTCCTGCAGCAACATCTTGCTTGTCCACCAGGTTTAGACTAACCCTTGATTTAGACCGTCATCATCTCACAGTCGTTGGTGCTACCAGTGGTGACACTGGCTCCGCTGCCATTTACGGCCTACGCGGTAAAAAGGATGTTTCGGTATTCATCATGTTCCCTAAGGGCCGCGTAAGCCCTATCCAGGAGCTGCAAATGACCACTGTCTTGGATAAGAATGTGCACAACCTCTCCATTGAAGGGACTTTCGACGATTGCCAGGTACTATACGTTCAATATGCTATCATTCAACTACACCTCCCACAAAGATTGACTGACACACTTTGATCTTTAGGATATCCTGAAATCCATGCTCGCCGATCCCGAGGCCAACAAGCCCATCAACGTTGGTGCTGTCAACTCTATCAACTGGGCTCGTATTTTGGCACAAATTACTTATTACTTCCACTCATATTTCTCCCTGGTTAAGCAATCCCCAAACTTCAAGCTTGGTGACAAGATTCGATTCGTCGTACCCACTGGAAATTTTGGAGACATCCTGGCCGGGTACTTTGCTATGCGTATGGGGCTACCTGTTGAGAAACTGGTCATCGCAACCAACGAAAACGACATTTTGGACCGCTTCTGGAAGACTGGAAAGTACGAGAAGCAGCCCGCGCCCGAAGATGGCAAGGATATCGCCCCCGAGGGCGTCAAGGAGACTCTCAGCCCCGCCATGGATATTCTGGTTTCTAGCAACTTTGAGCGCCTGCTCTGGTTCTTAGCCTACGAATTTGCTGCAAGTGCGGGCATGGACGACCAGTGGAACAAGAAGCAGGCAGGCCAGGAGGTTTCCAAGTGGCTTAAGGAGTTGAAGACCACGGGATCATTCGGCCCCGTCTACCAGGATGTTCTGAAATGCGCCAAGCGCGACTTTGACAGTGAGCGGGTAGACGACAACCAGACCCTGGAAACCATACAGGCTCTGTACAAGAAGGTTGGATACGTTCTGGACCCGCATTCCGCCGTTGGTGTTGCTGCCACCATCAGATCCGCCGCCAACGCCAGCCCAGATGTTCACCACATCTCGTTGTCCACAGCCCACCCGGCTAAATTTTCCGGCGCAGTGGAGAAGGCATTGAACGGACAAGACGGCTTCGATTTTGAGAACAAGGTACTGCCTAAAGAGTTCGTCGGACTATCCGAGAAGGAGAAACGGGTCACTGAGGTAGAGGGGAGTGTGAGCAAGGTCCGGGAGCTTGTCAAGGCCCAGGTAGAGCAGGAACTTTCCGAGCTTCAGTGATGGAAAGTCATCAGTGCATAAATTTGCATATTGGAAGAAGGAGAAGAAGGGACGTCATCACTTATGAGGGTTTACACATGGTCATGAGCATTTCCTACCCATTTATTATTTTTTTTCTGTGTATTTGTGGATGAAGCCATGCACATATGTCGATGAGTCCAATGGCATCATTAAAAGGAAGGGAAAGAGGAAAAAAGTACAGTTCTACAGATTTAGAGCAAGAGACTAGAAGGGAAGGGAGATGATGGCACGTGTTGTTTGGCATTGCTTGCTGTGTTTTTAAGAAAAATCCGGATTCAGGGAGTCTGATTGCCACGAGGCATTGCTTGCATTGCTTCCGGCGACTGGATTTATCTCACTGCATTCAATTTAGCGGGAATTTTTGACCACTTTTGCCGAGATGCAAATTTCGTTTGAATATCAATCTCTGAAATATTATCATGACTGATGTGTAACATGGAGTTTCATATACGGTCCCCTTAAGAGGTCTAAAAAAACTCGGCAATTTGTATTTTCGGAAACGCAATCAGATATTTCATCCGACACTCTATAACGGCACCTTGCGTTAGGTTGAGACCATAATATCTCTCTGACGTGAGTGTTGGTGTGGGTTTTGCGTCTCATCGTTTTAAAAACGCGACAGTACACTCGGTGCCACGACCCTTATTAGAGGAGGACAGCCAAAGGCTAGCTTTGGCCCGCTCTGAAGCGCAAAAGTGCCAACGACTGGACTACAAAGTGACCGTGGCCCAAAGAACTCGCCATATTGTCGAGTTCCATTTTGTTCTACGACGCAGGGCCCGGACACAAGGACTGTTGCACAAACGAGCACCATTGGCAGGGCTTAAATAATGTCTTTCATGTGATAAACTTTAGAGTAACATACTATTGAAGCACCGGTAGCCAGTTACGCTAGAGTGTCTCCAGGCAGACACCGCGGTGCTATCTTTGTGATTCACAAACAATCCTGGAGCAAGCAAGTCGAACACGCCTGGGTTGCTATGTTACATTGCCCACTGTTGTCCATTTTCTAGACGGAGCGCCGTTTAAAGCTGTCACCGTCTCATTCCTTTGCCCTGATAATGCGACCAAACTTTAAACACTTCTGGTCGTTTGTAGGAACTTTCGTGAGCACACGGCAGTTCTTTATGGAAACATATTCCATAGATCAAGGTCGACACCGAGACTATAAATGTGTAAAAAAAAAAAAAAAAGGAACCGCAAAAACGCCTGTTTCATGGTATGCATGTGCAGGATGGCCTCCTGCCAAGTAAAAGTAAAGCACAATCAGCCGTCTGGCTGTCACCAAACCTAATTTCCGGAGGGGTTTAGGCTTGGATTTCTTCTCTTTTTCTTTGAAGAAAAGAAGGGATTTCACTTTGTTGTGACATTATGTCCTTGACTTATTGATGTTGTTGTCGTCATCATCTAGCGTCTTGATGCGCTTCTTGACGAATTCAAATGACGAAAAAAAGATGGCATTAACAAGGCATGAACGGCTCATGGAGACACCCAACCCACGATACATGTGACGTTTGAAGAACTCGATCTTTGGGGCAGGAGCGACTTTTTCTCCACGGGAGTGGAGGAGTGAGTTCCGTTGGTATATGCTTTTGGCGGAATCGATGGGGTCTTTAAATGGTGTTAGTTGCGACAGGAGCCAAAGGTGGTAGAGACATGAAGCATGCTTACAGATTAATGCCCAAGACACAAGACCGCACATGCCGCCGGCTGTTACCACCGCCAACTTGTTGCTATTTGGATTGTCCCCTGCTAGGGTTGTTCCGAGCTGCTTCCCGCTCTCGTACACCATGAAGTAGATCGATGTCCCCAGTGTATCACGCACTAGTTGATTTCAGTTAGCCTTCGGTTCTAGGAACTCGCCGAGAGTTGATAAGCTTACATAAGTGTAACCTGAGTCCTGTGTATAGCCCCAATATGCCCCGATGCTTGATAATGTTGGCCATGGTCCTCAAAGTTCCCTTATTCTGATAACTCGACGCTACCGCTCTGCTCTTTTGACAGTTGCCTGCTCTTTCTGCCAGTAGCACAGATACCTGTGCACTGAGCTTCGTAAGCTCAAACGGGCAGGCGATAAATGTAATGACAGAGCCGGCTGTGGCGCCTGCGGCACCGAAGCAGGCCACCGAATATAGATTTGGATATGTACCCGGCTTGTTCACATGACGAAGGATGTCATATCCCATATTCTTTTTTACCCAGGCCGCATATGAATATTTCGCTCGTTGGTAAATGGAAAATGACACGGTTCGGACGAGAGTAATGCTGGCCATGGGGGCCATGACACCTGTAAGAAGACACAAAAATTTAGTATTGCTATTCGTCGAGTCGCCTTTTTCGGTATACATGTAAAAGGGCCATAGGGGTCGTCTGGTTTGGATGTTGAGACTGCGACCAAAGCGCGCCAATTGCGACACAACCACCCCCATCACAGCGCCATTGAAGGGAGGAAGCCAATGCTTACCTCGGAAAAAACCACCCAGATGTTCAGTACGATAAGTATGTTTGACGCAGTCAATGAAGCCACGGTATTGGTAGGTCTGCATGCGAGTCTTGACACTGTCAAGAGGGAAGGCAGCCAGCGTAGAGAAGACGCTCGAAGAGCTGGCAGCTATTTCGGTCCGATAACGCTTGACGAACGAGTTTGCGTGGTCTCGTGGGCGGGTGGTGGAAGAAGGCATGACTGCTGTCGCGATGAGGCGGCCTGGAACATCTTGCTGCTGATCGCGTTTTGCTTCCACCGTCATGCTTCTGGACAAGTTCGGGGCGGCCGTCTTTCGTCCCGGGACACTGAGCAGTTATAATTGCCCGGAGCCTGGGGAAACAAGAGAAGACGAGGTGGCAGCAAGTCCAGGCAGCAAGGTGAGAGGGCGAATTGGTATAGACGGCCACGGCACACACGCGCGCGCGGTTCAGACCCGGTGATCTCGACAAAAGCGACGAGACCAGCAGCGAGCCTGGGGTGTGCGCGGGCGGCAGCACGACCTAATTATCCAGAAGCACTGCTGCCATCAACCGGCGGATGTCAATCGGATGGTCGGTTCAGTATCCAGTACTGATGGGGGACGAGGGCGAAAGTCGACACCGAAAAGCGGCAGCGGTTCTCGAGGACTGGCAGCTGCTAATGCCCAGGCGGGAACAGCGGCCCTTTAAAAATTTGAGAAGACACCCAAGGTATAAAGAGAGGCGGGAAACGGTGATTGAGAATTGGACAACCAAGGCGGCTATTCACAGCTTGTTCGATGAAGGAGGGGTTCTTGACGCTTGGTGGTTGTGGTCTGGTGGCGTGGATGACGCTCTGGCGCCGCGAACACAGTGGACTGGAGACACCGGTTAGCGTCTGGAAGGGCTCAAGTGCTGCAACAATCAAATGTCCAAGGGAGCTTGGGGGAGCTCCATGTCAGTGCTCGGGTTCCTTGGTGGCCTGTGCGGACGGGCTGCAGCACTTGGGTGGAGCGGGACAGAGCTGGCATTCGATCCAAGGAGGAACAACTTCACAACATTCAAGGAAAGGGTCAATGAAGAAGAGGTTTGTGTCCGGCAGCTCTCCAGAGCGTGCTCGACAAACGGCCTCAGCAAAGAAGCAAGGTTCAATGTTGTGTGTGGGTGAGATGTACGGGTGCAAGGCGAGTTGTCGGCCACAGGCAGAACAAGACGAACCACTTGGACATTTGCATTTGTTGGAGTTTCAACAACAGCCCAGTCGACATTGGTGACTTGTGCTTTGGCTGCATCGACCATGCCACTTTGAGCGTCTCGAGGGTCCCATCTGGTGCCATCTGGTGCCATCTCCTGCGCATCTTGATGTGTATCTCGCGCCCATCTCACACCCGTCTCAAACCCAACTCCCGGCCGTCATTTGCCTGCAATTCGCCCGTTTCACGCATCGCATGGCCCAACCATCAAGTGTCATTACGTAGGTCTGTGGTTTCGTTCAACGGCGTAAGCCTAAACCAAAGAATTGAATCCGGTGGTTGCGATTTGAACCGAGTACTCCATCCAGAGTACATTGCACCTACCTCGCAGCACCTGGATACGCATGCCTTAGGTAAGCAGCGTCGCTTTTAGCCTCCACGACACAAAAAGCTACCTTTTGTTTGAGATGCAGCTTCAAATGATTTGATTCTTAGAAAAGGGTCAAATACAGTTGTAAAAGGAAAATAGAGAAGCAAAGACCTACGTTCTCTATATTTCCAGTATTGTCTATCTTGCCTGTACACAATCATAGTATTGTACTGTACGGAGTACGGAGTAGTACTGCTACTGTTTCTCTCGGGATGAAATGCGGGACATGTAAGCTTGTGGAGCTGGGCAAACAGCGGCAAGTGCGCTCCACTGCTACCCAATGGCATGCCTCACCGCGGAGGGGCAAAAGCGGGGACAAACTACCATCCGTAGATCGATGTTTGGACAAGACGGGAAGCCTGAAGCCTGAAGCCTGCCACGACACGAGTTCGTTGCGATTAGTCTGGTAGTTCATTGATCCAAGTTGTGCATCACAGTTCACATTCCCGAACTACCAAACCAAAGTGCTCAGGTACTTGAGGACGAACAGCGTCCTGTGACTGTGCCCAACACATGCCAGAGTGCTACCATCTGCTTCATGTTCCTCGTGGTTGGGTTGGAACCGACTTAAACGTCCAGTGACAATGTTACCTGCCATTGAGCATGCTTCTTCCAGGCTCGTCCATTGACACTGTTCTCATCAACACTGAAGCGGCCAGATCCCACTACCTGTACCACCAAAATATACAGCAACCTACTTAAGTACCAGACCTTACTCAAGTACCAAGGTACCTCGTACCTACCAGCAGCTAGCACTAGGGGTATTTTCCAAGTATTGCACGACCCCTCTTCCCACATCCATCTTACGGCATCATGCCAGCAATCAGAATGTCTTTTCGGCCCCATCATGGCGTGTATGAGAATTCCGTGGCTTTTGGGGGCGAATTTGCCGGCTAATATCGTGCACAGCGTCGCCTCCATCAGCAAGATGGGGAAGATGGACAAGGGTCCCCCTTGGTTCAGGCAAGCCCACTAGAACACTGCCCAAATATACTACGAGGTTGTGATGAATGGCCTTGGGGCGAACACCGAAACAGTGCTCCAGATGCAGGCAAGTCCACGTGTTGGAGGCAACAGTGCATGACTGAAGAACAGCATGGTTTGCCTAAACTACGGTGACCAAGTCCAGCAATCCTGGCGGCAGCACACTTTCCGATGATGAATCCACTAGACGCACAGGATAACATTTTCATTGTGGTCTTTGAAAGCTCAATGTCTAAAAGGATTGTATTCTCCTAGACAGTTCGATTTTCACTTCAAAATCATCTCGGAATCTTCCTTCCCCTGGCCATTCTGATGCGCTACGTAATACTGATGAATGCAGCAAGATACATCTCGCTCATTCGGAATGACGAGTTCCCACACATGCAGGGTCGTCCAGCAGGTTCCGTCGTTTCATGGCCGGTACCAGCAGTGCTCGGAATTGCCTCTGTCCGTTCCTCTCAAGAAAACTAGGCCGGGCCGGAATAGCCTTCATCTTGAACCATGATCAACAATCTCGTTCAAGCACCGGCAGGGCCTGCCTCTGCTACCTGGCCGGCTTGTTCCTCGATATCCTCGGACTCGGCTAGCTCTGTTGTCAGGGGTACTTCGCCCCCATGAATAGTGGCCAGTCTTTGCTCTTCCCTCGTCTCACGCAATGCTTCCGTCTCTTGTCGCAAATTCTCAATGTTCCATGCGTCGTCATCGTCGTCTTCAGAGTCTTCTTCGTCACGCCACTTGCCGCTCTCGAAAAGTGCACGACCCGTGTTCTCCTTGGCTTTGCGAAGCTGCTCCTCGGCAGCCTTCTTGTCAAGGCGTTCTTTCTTCCATTTGGCGAAGGTCTCTGGAGTGACGGGGGTAAGAGTTCCAGTGAGCTTGTGTCGCTCAGATTCCAAGAAGTCTTCCAGAGTGAGTGTCTTGAGTGGTGATTTGTCCATAAGTGCCTTCTCAGCTGCCCTTTGCTCCTTTGTTTTCAAGACGAATCTACAATGTGCCAGGTCAACAAACATGATCACAGACGTTAGCAGGCAGAAAATGACGTACCCAGGAGGCAGGGCATGTCTGTACATGCATTTATCTCCACCGTTGGGGCAAACCCAGAACCAGCCGTACTTTCCATCCTCAATAGCTGAGATGAAAAACTTGCACACCTTCTCCGTCGTTGTTTTTTGGTTGCCCTTCTTTGACAAGACCACCTTCCGCAGTTGTTCTTCGTCCCATTCGGCAGAAGTCTCTTGCTTTTTCTTTTCTTCCTCTTCTTGCCCTCTAGTGTCTGCATAAAGATTCTTCTTCTCGGTCTTTCGCTCGATATTCGGGTCATGCGAGAATTTGCACTTCTTGCCCTTCTCGCAATCTCCCTTCTTGAAAAAAATGCACAAAACCGTCTTGGGATCTACACCAAACGGTACTTTTTGTATTTGAGCAGGTTTGTTAAGAAGCAATTCTGTTTCCCTTTTGGCGTCCTCGGCGGCCTTCTTCTCCTTCTCTCTCTGAGCTTTCTCAGCTTGCTTCTTCTTCTCTTCAGGGCTTACACCATTCTTCAAATTGCTTGTCATCTGGGCAATCTGCTTCTTGGCGACGGCACCTTTCTTATTCTTCATACCAAAAGTCTTGTCTTCCACTTGTTTGGTGGCCGAAGGCTTTTTGGCGGCACCACCGCCCTTATCGGCCTTCTTGGGTGGCATGTTGGGCGGTGGCGGGGTCGTTCAAATGCAGACGGTCTTTAAGCAAAGGTAATTGGGTCGGTAAGAATGTCGATGCTGAATGAAATATCGGTGTTAGATAGATTGGCCACTGCTTCCGTGGACTCGACGAAGGAAAGACGCCAAACTGGCACGCTCGATTTGGACTTATATGAAAAGGCGTCCCGACGTCGTGGAGAAAAATGAATCAGTTGGTCGTTTCGTCACTTTTGACGGGCCGCCACGTTTGGTGGATGAGATCGATAGATCACGTGCTCGACCCTCTTTTTACAGTCCTCTGTTCAGTGGTCACCACGTACACAAAATAGTGGGCTTATTACGAAATAGAGTGGACGGTGCCTTCGCTGGACGTAACGACACCTAGCATGAGGGTACGTACCTCCGTACCTGGGCTGACAAGGCTCCGTGAAAGCTCCAGCTGTCCTCCCTCCTTGATCACCTCTATCGCATACAATTATTGAACCATTCGACGGTCTTGCCATCAGCGTTTCGCGTGAGTTTCTCCAGTGCTATGACTTTTCGCTGCAATGAGGGCTTCGTGATCTAATGTAGCTCCTCTTAGCAATACACCCGACCATCAATACCCTCTGTCGCATTGCCCGTCGCCAGGATGATCTCCGATCGCGATCTCTTCTCCCTTGCCGTCTTCTTTGGAGCAGCCTCCGTGCTTCTGATTGTGGCATATCATTTTCTCGAAACCAATGCAATTGCAAACAAAGCCGAACATGCCAAATCGTCATGATTCAATGAGGAGACAGAGAGAAAGCGAGCATTAAAGACGAGGACACCAAATCTTGTGGGCGATTGTAAAATAGCTGTGCGTGCAAACAGCTTTGTCAATGACTGAAGAAAATATTCTAAATTCGAGAAGGATATCTAGTTCTTCGTACCTGGCGTTGGGAACAAATATGGGCAAGTAACGAGAGGCGCTTCCATCGGTCAAAGGGCTTCAGCCCTTGGGTGTGGATTAGCCGCGATACAGCGGTGCGCAGTCAAGA